GCAGACGTATGAGACCTGAGCTCATCCCAACTGTGCAGGCATCCACACTTCGTGCACCCTCTCGGCTCTTCGCAGAAGCAGCCATCGCCGGGAGGCGCAGGGTGGCTGCTGCTCGGCTACGACTTGTGCCAAATTGCTGCCAAGGCCCGCGTGCGTGCCTGGCAAGGCCTCCCTCGTTCATGTCAGGTTGGACTTGCACACAGTTGCCCCTTTGTCGTTTTTATGTCATGGCAAGCCAGTCCGCCAGCTCACAGGCCCTGTTTTTGGGCCATGGGCAAGCACGCCAAGTAGCCAACTGCATACCATTCGCCAGTGCCACCGGTGGCCGCTGAAGCAGTAAGAGATACTTTCAGAACCCAAACATGCCGTAGCCTAGATGGGACAGTTTCGGGTCGACTGTGTTGCCTAAGGCCGGCCTGCGTGCCATTGCACAACCGCTGCCCTGAACAAGCCCTCCTAATGCATTTTCAGGCTGGACTAGCCCGTCGCGATTCGCGGCGGGAAACAACCGAGACTGCCAACAGCCAGCCCTGGCAAGGTCGTCCTTGCGGGTATTGACTCCGCCAGGCTCAACTTACATCTTGCTTCGTCTGCTGCCAAGCTCGGGTTCTACCTGCGAGAGACCATTTGAGCAGAGGAGCCTCAAACTCAGTCGGAAGGGTCGAAAACCCCTAAACCCTAAACCCTAATCATGTTGCAGCCTAAAGTTGGTGCGATTCGTAGGTTCCTCTTGGTTCTCACTCACGACCAGCACCGCCATTTTGAACTGAATGAAGCAAGGCCCAGCGTGATTCGCCGGGGCCCTTCCGGCCCGCTTCGGCAAGTCTTGTTGCTTCCGTCTTCCGTGTTTTGCTGGTCTGTACACCCCACAATCCGCATAGCCACGTCTTCTCTACAAGACCTTGCCGGCGTTGGCCTACCCACACAGGAAATCATGAACTGCCGATTGGCGCGGCCTCACGCACCCGCACCTGCCAAGTGAACTCGCAAAAACATCCCGAAGCATAGCGGCCCATTGCAAGAGCCCGTGCCTGCCAGGCGCCTGCCCATTGAGAGCGCGTAGATATCTGCCTTGCCCTGGCGCTCTCAGCCAGACAGGACGGAGAATGCACGTCACCTCACGTTCAAAAACCTCGAGCCTTAGACTGTGTTTGTGCTCACAAACGACTAGTCACTAGTTTCACCTGGCCTGGCTGTGGGCATCCATCGGTTGCTCGCGGAGGACCTGCAGTCGGCCAACAGATCCGTTTACATGTCCCACTCCGTGCCGAACACTCTGAAAAACTCGAAGCAGCGACATACACAAACACCCTCAAGTTGTTTCCTTCCTTGCACGAAGGCTGAGGCTCCGCGCGGGCAGATGCTGGCTTTCCCATCCGCGGAAGCCTCCCTCGAGAATGGCCACGCGCCTTTCCGTGAGAAGTCGAAGGTCCGAGTCGAAGCACAAAAGGTATAGTAATTCCGACTCGACGATACGAAGCAAGCGTATTCGTCGTTTCGCAATCTTGCAGTTTCTGTCTTCTTAAAATGCGCAGTGCTCTGTCGTATCCAGAGCTTTAAGGCCGTGCCGACTTGCATGCATGACTTCAGCCACAAACCTGTAATATTCCAACAGCTTGCCTGGTCTGGTATGAGAACACGGCTAGTCTCATGCTGACTCATGCCGGCACTTTCGTTCCGGTGGTGTATACTGTTTACTGTGCCGTACAGTACCATTTCTGCGGAAGCAATCTGACGCATAGGAACTCACAGAGAAAGCTCTCCGGCTACACCATGAAGTCACAACACCCAGTCACGCAACCTGCGCAAAGCTGCTCAACAGATGGACGCAAACAGGATGCTCTCGGACGGTCGGATACAGGTACATGCACAACTGAAGGAACTAGAACTGCGGCTTTTCTCCGCAGACCGAGGCCCCCGCTGTGTGGTCGGTGCCTGCTCGCGATACCAGTTCGCGCACCTGCCGTGTTGTCTAGGATCGGCTATCCTGAAAACTCACCGGGGCCCGTGGTGCGGACCGAAAGTTGAACTAAATGTAACAAGGGCAGACACATCCTTCGAAACTCGAGGACATTCGAACAGTTGCCTTCCCCCATGGCCCATGCAGTAGACTTGGCATCCTGCTGGGGGCCGCGGTGCATCGAGTACTGGCAGTGGAAGATCTCAGCAGCATCGCGCGTGGATTCACTGTGGCACAGTCACGGACAGACGCGCCGCCAAAGTGCAGCAACAAAAGATTCATTTAAGCATGCTGCAGTAACATGCGACAAGCAGGATTCTGAGTTGCCCGCGACCAGCTTCTCCTTCGAGAATTTGTCCACCAGCGCCGGCACCTCATACAGTGTCACGAGCCAAACCAATGCGGTGTCTGCTTCCCTCTCTTGGCCGCCCCACCCGGTTCAAAAGGGGTGCCTGGAAACTGGTGGGCTCGTGCACCGCTCCCTGCGATGGAGCGACAGGGCACCAAACGGGATCTTCCGCATAGCCTTTGAAAACAGATCCGCGAATCTTGCTGGGAGGCCTGGATCCTGCCAGAGGCACGGTCACAGGCCCGGACATCCACCAGCACACACCTCGGTGCTTTCTTAACGCGGCCGCTGCCAACTGCGGCACGGGCTTGTGGTACTGTACCTTGCTGAGAGGCAGGCAGCCCGGCACGGAGGAGCTGGTGGACCTGAAGCTAAGATCCCTCGACATTCGACGCCATCGATAGCGAAGCTCGGGTCGGGCCTCCTGCGCGGAGAGCCTCTCGACCCCCTCGGAAAGACCAATAATTACGCATAAAATTCAAAAATTTCCTTGAAGTAGATGTTGTCCCTGACCCCGACCGTCCTTGTTGAGGGGCACCTCAAAGTTCGGCCCCACCAAGCCGGAGGTAGCCGAAGGCCTGCGTGCGGGTCGGATCTCTTCGTGGTCGTTTCGTGTTTGGGTTGGCAAGTGTCGAGCAACGAATCGAAAACCTTTGATAGGAAAAGGCTCGAATAATGTGGAAAGGGGTTGGAGAACGGTCCCTCACTGCACTTGCACACGTTGTGCATGCACTGCAAACGCTGAATGTAGCTTGCTCGTGCCATTTCGTACCTCGTTATAGTACCTCGTTCGCTCGTATGTCTCTTGCCGTTCAGCTGCACCCTCGTTCCGGCGCCGTTGGCTCGTAGCTCCAGGTACCCCAATGGTTGTCTGCACGGTGCGTCTGTATTTGCATCCCTGACGGAGTGCTCGCACTCCCAACTGGACCGGAACACAGTTGACGTCCGACGGCAAATCAACAAGTATCAACAAGTCACGTGGCTAGTGCGTCTCTGTTGCTGCAGTCGCTGGCATGCGGCTTTCCAGCGACTGAAATGCAAGTTCAACATTCGAGGATGAAGAGGGCCATGCAGCATGGAGATCGTGTTTTCCAGAAGAAGCTGGATCCGCATCAAGGACAGAAATCAAGATCTTGTCACTGGCCCAGTGGTGGTTCAGGGGTTGATGTTCCAAGTTCGAACAGTTCCTTTCCAGCCTTCACTCTCACGCC